AATATTGGAATAGATGACAAGGATATTCGTGTCATTAAAAATTTATACTGGAATCAAACTGCTATCGTACGTAAGGATTTTTCGCTACTCGAAAAATCGAGTATATCACATACATATACATACACATATTTTTATAATTTTATATATTATATATTATATATTATATATTATATATTATATATTATATATTATATATTATATATATATATAATATATTATATATTATATATATATATATATATATATATATATATATATATATATATATATATATTTAATATATTTTTTTATAACAACTCGAGAACGGCTGGATCGATTTGACTAATTTATATTTTAAAATATTTTTATGAAATAAAATAAATTAAATTAAATAACATTATATAAAATTAAATTATAAAAAATCACTAAAAAATTATAAATGATTATAGAAAATTATAAAAAACTGTAAAAAAATGTAAAAATTAAGTAAAGTTATTTAAAATTAAATAAAATTAAACAAAAATAAAATTAAATAAAACTAAATTAAGTTAAATAAAATTATATAAAAACAATAAAATTATATAAAATTAAATAAAATTATTAAAATAAAAAAAGTTTATTTTCGAAATTTTAAAGTTGTTTATAGATAGAAGTATTTACAAATGGAAAGTTTTTAATAAAAATTAATTAGTATAACCTCACATTATTCATGATTAGTTTTAGAATATAATGATAATCAAAATGAAATAATTAAGCATAAATACAAGATAATAATGAAAATGATGAATAAATGCTATATGTATTATATTTAACAAATTTTGAAAATTACTTAAATAATTAAACAGAATGATTTTTTTTTTATTTTAAAGAACTTAAATGTGTAGTGTTATATTATAAAAAATATTAACAATTCAGTATTAAGCAGACATAAATTTCATTAACGCACATTATAGTAACTATAAGAAGTATTCACTTCTGTTGGCAATCGCTAAGTGCCACTCTCTTTTTTTAATTAACCCTCACGTAATTAACCATTTATTGTAGGGGGCACTGCAACCGCGACTACTCCAAGCCTCTTTGGTTCAACAACGACATCTTCATTATTTGGTCAACAGCCAACTGCACCAGCTCCTAGCTTGTTCGGCACTGCAACTTCAGGAACCAGTGGCTTTGGAACTGGAACCAGTTTGTTTGGTTCGACAACAACTACATCAGCGCCATCCTTGTTTGGAACTGGTTTTGGATCCACTACAACCACCGGAGGATTTGGAGGCTTTGGAGGCACAACTTCGACTTTTGGAGGCTTTGGACAACAAGCGCAGACGTCATTTTTTGGTAAACCTGCTGTTCCACCGGCTGGTAAGACTAATATGCAAATTATCATGAATCAAACTAGTTTTTAGACGCTCTGAAGCTTTGGTTTCCTTGTGGAAGCTTACCTTTTATTAAATATCTCGGTGAGAACCCGCAAATTATAAATCAATCTATTTATTTTACGTTTATTTTATAAAAGTAGCTAAACTGGCTTTCGCTCTGGAACCTACACTTTATATGGAATTGACTTTTATTTTAAATAAAAGTAGCATTTACTTGTGTTATTGTGTTATTTTCGTAATTATTTTCCATCGTTTTCATTATTCCTAAAGGTATCACCCTTTAATTTTACCCGGTCAAATGGCCCACGAAAGATAGATATGTCAGTTTGTTGTATTTTTATGATTTTGAACTTGCCTCATTATAAATATAGCATCGGTCTAATGATCTTCTCGACCTAGAACCTTGTTGTTTTTCTACTAGTATTATAATTTCATTCAGTTTATTTGTTATCACTTTGATTGTTAATTTGAGTATTGTGTTTAACAAATTAGTTCTTCTGTAGTTTTCCGGGTCAGATTTGTCTTCCTTTTTGAAGAGAGGCTTTCATCATCACAGTCATTAACATCTTAGTAGATGTGTTGTGGTTCATAATTGGGCTTCAGCAGCTCGGACAGTTTGATTGATAATATTTCTCCACTGGTCGCGGTCATCAGTTATATGTATTGCCTCAGTATACTGTTTATTGAGAAGCTTTTTAGTAATGTCCGCCCATCGCTGTGGAGATCTTCCGCGTTGGCGTTGAGTCTGAGGCCTTCCTTGGACCACCAACCGCTCCATTTTGTGATCACTTCGATGGATGTGGCCAAAGAACTTTAAAATTCTAGAGTAAACGGTACTGGAGAGACGCTGATCCGGTTTAATTTCATCCAGAACCGAGATATTTGTACGGCGAGCCGTCCATGGAATTCGAAGCAGGCGTCTCCATGTTCACATTTCAAAGGCGTCTATACGTCGTCGATCTGATTCTTTGACTGTCCATATCTCGCATGCATAGTAAAATATGGAAAAGACCAGAGTTGAAACGAGTCTCTTTTTGTTTGTCATAGTAATGTGACGATCACGCCAGACCCCGTTTAGTTCACTCATTGCTGCTCTTGCTAGTTGAATGCGTCTTCTAATTTCGGATTCACAACTGCCTGTGTTGTTAACTAGAGCTCCAAGATATATTATAGATGAGACTACCTCGCATCCCGCAATAGTTTGGGTTTCAGGAAACTGTTGTTGGCGATCAATAACCATGATTTTGGTTTTGTTGTAGTTAACCATGAGTCCAAATTTAGCACTTTCTACCTCGAGTTTTTTTAATAATTTAATAATTTCTTCTGGAGTAGAGGCTAGAAGTGTAGTGTCGTCTGCGAAACGCAAGTTAGATATCTTAACACCACCTAGGTTTTCTCCTCCCTCCCAACCATCCAAAACTCTGCGCATTATGCGCATTATGAACTCCGAATAGATGTTAAATAATAAGGGAGATAAGACGCATCCTTGGCGTACTCCCTTCTCCAAAGTGCATTTGTCAGACAGATATCCGTCCATTCGAATATATGCCAGGTTATCTTGATACAGTTTGCTAATAGGGTGAGTCAAGTGTTTAGGTACACCCATTGTCGTCAATATGTTCCATAGTTTGTCCCATCTAACATTATCAAAGGCCTTTGTATAATCGACGAAACATATAAATATCGGGATCTGGTATTCTCTGGCTTTTTCTATGATGTTTCGTACATTAAGGATTTGTTCTCTAGTACCTCTGCCCTTTACAAATCCAGCCTGCTCAGGTGCTATTTGCCAACTTATGAAGTTTTCTAGACGCCGTTGCAGTATGTAGAGGATCACCTTACTGGCGTGTGATATTAGAGCTAATAGCCTGTAGTTGTTACAATTATTTGTTGAACCTTTCTTATGAAGAGGTATGATTATGGTCTTTCTCCAATCCTCAGGCCAGACGCCTGTGTGCCATATTTAATTGCACAATCGATGTAATATTTTCACTCCACATTCCGGAAGATGCTTCAAGACGTCTGCAGTAATGAGATCATATCCTGCTGCTTTGTTTAACTTGAGTCTTTTTAAAGCGAATTCTACCTCGGAAAAAAGTATGTCAGGTTCAGACTTAGAGAGGCTTTAGGATGTTCGATTTTCATTTGTTTGACCTCCGGTTTTCCACTTTTTGAAGATTCAGACATGGTATTCCCTGCGCGCTCTCCGCTACTATTCTATAAATGTTTCTGCGTGAAATATTTTCGTTCTAAAATATTCGACAGATTTCTGCTTTGGGTATCTGCCCAATTAACTTGTACGATACTTTTTCTGATCTCTAATTTATACGACATTTTAAAGCAAAAACTTTAAAATAAATAAATATCAACTGGCAGTAAAGAAAGTAAACAACATTTTGTTTAAGAAAACTTGATATTATTTTGTTTTTGTTCATATTAAAGCCAATGAATTTTGTTCCCAAACCTTTTAGGACATACTTTATACTGTATTCTCTAATAATTATATAAATTAATTATCAAGAATTATATAAATTATTTTCGATATATTTATATTATATTTTACTCAAATTTATCGTTTTTTTAGCACCTCAACAAGTTCCCCCTTCGAAGAATCAACAAGTTCTAGCTTCTGTCTACTCAATTAATGTTTTTAACGACGAAAGGGACGACATTCTTAAAAAATGGAACATGCTACAAGCTTGTTGGGGAACAGGGAAAGGCTACTACAACGGCCAACTGCCGCCCATTGAATACGATACTCAAAGCCCATTTTACAGATTCAAAGCGATGGGTTATAATGTCATTCCAGAGCATGATAATACGGACGGCATTGTCAAATTGGTTTTTAATAAGAAAATCGACGAAATGAAGTAAGTATTTTTAATTTTTATGTTATCAAACCATTATTTATAAATTTGTAGCCAACTAGAGCAGTGGTTCTCAACCTTTTCATCACTGAGGACCACTTGTACCTTTCAGAACTCTTGGCGGACCACTTAGATATTATTATTAATATTTCCTAATAATAGGTAAAATGAGATGAACACTGACATTTTACTAATGAATTTATTATTTACAAAATAAAAAAAAGAAAACATAGTGTAAGACAAAAGGTATATAAAAAACAAAATAAAAAGTCATAGATAGCGCCAAATTAAGACGTTAATGACTCCCTTGGTCTTGCTTCTCACTTGAAAGTTTCTCAATATTTGGATCGAAAGAAGTTAACGCCAGTCTCATAGGAGCATTTAAATTTAGCAACCTATTTCTGTGTTTATTCTTAATGACATATAATGTTGAGAATGATGCCTCACAGAGATAAGTGGAATGAAAAGGAAGAAGAAGTTCCAAAGCTTTTTTACTTAACAGTGGACTTTCATCAAGTAATCCTATCCAAAAATCTGCAACATTTTCGCAGTGAGATTTTATCACTTTTAAATGATCATCGGATGAAATTCCAATAAGCTGTTCATTTTCCTGAATAGACAGATTATTATTGTGGGTAGCTAAAAAGGGATCAATCACCCACAGATTATTTTTTCTCACATCTGTATCAGCAGGGAAGTACTTTTCAAAGTAATCTTGAAGCGACTTAATGTAGGACTTAACCAGTGTATGTAAAACAACCTCATTTAATTCAGAGATAAAATTTGAAAACAAGTTGAACATTTCAAACGATCCTTTTCCAGCTTCGGACTCCCATAGCAACAATTTTTTCTTAAATGAATCATTTTTTTTCAAAGGTCAAATGCGGTTTTAGATGGTCCCTGCGGGCCTAGATTCAATATGTTGAGCTGTTCAAAAATATCTGCTAAAAAAGCTAACTGGGCCATAAATTCTCCGTCACGCAGTGTTTTCGCTAAATCAGGTTTTTTTTTCATCAATATACATACATACTTCTTCTCGAAGTTCATAAAATCTGTCTAAAACCCGGCCCCTGGACAGCCACCTAACTTCGGTATGTAGAAGGAGATTGGAATGGATGGATTCCATGTTCTCGCATAACAAAGCAAACAATCTCGAACTAAGAGCATTACTTTTTATAAAGTTCACGGCCTTTACCACAGTAGTCAAAACCTTGTGTAGGTCGGGACTTAATCTTTTGGCAGCAAGCATTTCGCGATGAATAATACAGTGTGTTAAAACAATATCACGGTTTCCTTCTTTCCTTACAAAACTTGGCAAGCCTGTTTTGTGACCTGTCATTGCCGCGGCACCATCAGAGCAAAGTCCTACACAGTCTTTCCAAGAAAGATTTTTAATTGTGAAATATCCGTCAATGGCTTTAAAAATGTCTTTTCCGGTTGTGTTACCTTGCAACTCAATCGAGGTCAGGAACTCCTCAGATAATTTTTTGTTGTCTTTATCTATGAATCGTATATAAACAAGAAGAATAGCTTTACTGGTAGCTATCTGTAGATTCATCAAGTTGTACAGCAAAAATCTTTGTGGAATGAATTTTCTTTAGAAGTTGCGTTTCAACATCTGATGCCATTTCTTCAATTCTCCTACTAACGGTGTCATTGGAAAGAGGAATATTTTGCATTTGTTTAGCGTATTTATCACCTGAAATTGCTTTAGTTGCATCTACGATACATGGTAAAACTAATTCCTCACCAACAGTAAAGGGTTTTTTGGTTTTTGCGATTCTAAGTGAAAGTTGATATGACGCCTTCAAAGTAGCTTTATCATAAGTTGAATATGACTTAAGGATATTTTTTGACGATTTTAGTTCCGTCTCCTTCCTCTTAAAGAAATCTACATGTGTTCCGGCAAAATTTTTATGCTTTGTTTCAAAGTGTCTAGTTAATTTTGCCGGCTTCATTGCCTCATTACTTAATACCTCCGCACAAATTACACATTGAGGTAACTGGACACCAAATTCTTCAATCAATGTAAATCCACATGCTATGTAGTAAGGATTGTACTTACGGTTACCAGCCTTTCTTTTAGGACCAGTTTGAGTTAATATTGTGCTATCACTGGCAATATTACTAGTAGAACATCCTGCTTTAACGTTCTCACTATCCGTCTTCTTAAAAAAACCCGAAAGTTTCATATGTTTGCTCATTTTAGTAAACTACAATCACCAAGCCAAAAAAGACGCACGCTTGTCACTTTGAGTCAACTCAACGACAGTTAAGTCAGCACTGAGTCACTGCAACTAACTATTTGGCGCGTGAGGGAAAATACGCGGAAGATTAAGGTGAATGAACCTGTGCTCAGGCGCGCTTGGTCGTCTGGAAAGTTAAAAAGATAGGCCGGCGCATTAATTTACGTCTCAAGAACCAAGATGTAAATTGATTATTTTATGACTGTTCACTTCGCGGACCACATGAAAACCGTTCGCGGACCACATGTTGAGAATCACTGAACTAGAGCATTGTTTCTTTTTCCAACACTTTTTGGTTGTCGTCTTCGGTTTTGTTGTACTCCAGAAAAAACATTTTTTTCTCTTCAAAATTTCCATTATTCAGTTCTTATTTATACTGTACTACATATTTCTTTTACTTGGTCGTTTCAGATTTTTCATGGTCTTCATCAGTTTGTTCCAAAAGTTCCTATTTCTTTTTTACCATATCAACTTTCCTCTTTGTTCAAAAAGATTTCGTATTGTCAATCATCTATTTGTACTGAAGTCAGATGTGACATGGAATAAAGCTATGGAAACAGCACAAATTAAATGTGCAGCAATAACCGAAATAAAACCGAACCATTAGAAGAAAGAGAGGTATGTCAAATAACGAAAGGGAATCGCAGCAAGGAAATATAACAGCCTGGTGTTGTGAAGTCACATCAGCAGGCCGACGATTAAAAGAGACCAGATGTTTACGTTCAGAGAATCAGAGACATTTCAATCGTGAGTTCAACACTATTGTCCAGAAGTATTTTAGATGTGCTAGAAGGCACTTATATTCAGTGTGTACCCATTAAGGATTACATCTGCAATTAATGCCCTTTTAAAGAGCACTATAAAAACTGGTATGCGGAAATAAATATTTAAATTTATTGATCGATATATATATATCGATCAATATATGAATCGATAGTAGTATTTTCCTGTTACGATTTTACATTTTTCAAAATAAATAGTCCATGATAATAATTTTTATTCTATTTTAGAATATTGACACTCGCGTTTTTCCGTCATCGTTTTCTTTTGTTGTATCTGAATTGTATATGAAAAACAGGCTTCTATCCACTGCTTAGATTGTTGTTTGGTTCAGGATACAGCACTTTTCGGAAAGAGGCATGCGAATGCGTTTTTGAACCGCATTGAGTGACGACACCTTTCTTACGAAAAGCTATTTCATAGTTAATTTCTGACGTATTAGTAATTTTTTGTTTATACTATGATCTTTCGATATATTACGCACTTTTTTGATAATTTTCGGCGTGGTTCCAGTTTTGGACGTCCTTCATCCCACAATCCTTTGTTCACTATGGAGAAAATAGATGAGGAATCATCTACACTATAATGAATCTCCCCCTTTGGTAAACCTTATTTCACGAATAATTTTATCAATGCTCGATTCTTGATTCAATCATTCATGCAATAACAAAGCGTTTAATTTTAGAACACAGTCAGAAGTCCTTAAAAATGGCATAAGCGGAATATTGGGAAATAAACCAAACTTAGTAGTTGAAATTAACCAAATACGAGCTCTATCTGCTAATCAGACGGAAGTGAGAATAGTGGTACAAGAAAAAGGTGTTACAGGCACCAGCAGAAAAATCCCTGCATCAGATCTGGCAAACTTCTTAAATCAACCAATGCCAAAACAACAACTCTCTACCGTAATGGTTACGTCAATTACTCCATATGTAACTCCATCCAAAGCTGAGTTGGAAGAGTATTTAAAGAATCCTCCATCAGGTAAGACTAAGTATACTTTAAAATTTAGTTTTAAATGATTATTTACATTTTAATTTCAAAATTTACTAATTTGAATTGGTCGAGAGATTTACTACGTACCTACAGTGAAAAAATTTAATAAATACGAAATTAATTGCAGAATAATAACTTAAAGCTCATTTTTGCCTAAAATGTTTTTCATTTTTTTCTTTGTCATAACTTTTTACCACGTCTCTCAATACAAGTAGTAAGATATTCTCTTGTTTTTCCTGTGATCTTTTATCTATCTATTTAAAAGGATATGATGACAAGTCACACCGTTTGTCCAGTAAGGTAACGACGCCACCTAGGAAAGAAATCTGAATTAACAACATTTGACATTTCAATCACATTTATTTTGTTCTTGAAAGATACGGCTGATTTATTGCTAATTCATTTTATAAAGTGATGATTCAAATATTGTTAATCAGAAATTTTACTACATCATAGTAATATTAATTTTTTTGCAAAATTGCTAAAAATATAGGTTACTGTAATTGTAAGGTAAGGTCAATGACGTAGAATATATATTTATTTACATCATTGGATAAGATTACTTACATAGATTATACACTTACTATAAAAATAAAATGACGTTTAACAAACGTCAACTCTTTACCAAAATAAAATAAAATAGAAAAGTTCTACTCAAAGCCCTCTTTCAAAGCGATTATCGAATCTAATCGAATTAAATGGAATACCAAATCGAATCGATTATCGAATCGAATACATTATTGTAATAATAGAAAAAATAGAATAAAATTAAATACAATAAAATAAAATACAATCGGGTTGAATCGATTTTCGAATTGAATTGATTATCGAATCAAATCGATTATCAAATCAAATCGATTATCAAATCAAATCGATTATCGAATCAAATTGAGTCGAATATATTATCGAATAGACGCAATTATCTATTTTAATCAATTGTTTGAATCGAATCGAAATACAATAAAATAAAATAAAATTAAATAAAATACAATCTAATCGATTATCCAATCGAATCGAATCAATTATCGAATCGAATCGATTATTGAAAGAAGTCAATTATGGGTTCAAATAGAAATAGAATAAAACAATTTAAAAGCTCCTTGCTTAGACGATAAGAAAGCTGTGCTTTCTCTCCTCGGTCACTCCGGATTGCCACATCCCGTTTTTTGTTTCAGGTATATCATTACTTGATATGTCCTGAAATAATTATATTAGTTACCTAATAAACATTTTTGAAAACAGTCTTTTTTTGTATTAGGGGTAGAATAGTTCTTCGGATCGTGACGTATGATACATCATTGGAAAGGAGAATGGATAGCGAATATGTTGAGAGAGAACACGCATTGGGCCATTGCTAAGAGGGTATTACATCATATTTCCTTTGTTATTCGTCCGATTGGAGCGTGTGATACGGTAAATGAAGGGGAAGGATATCATGAATATATTAAGATACAAGATTAAGATTAAGAAGAAAAAACAAACAGGGCGATTGCCAAAAGGGCACTACACAGTGTCTCCAATATTAATGAACGTATAGTTACATACGACATGTCATTGGCCTCACTATGGATGTTAGTATGGATAAAAATAGTTTAACTAAAAGACAAATTTTGATTTATTGACTTAAAAAAGGCCTCTGGCTGACCACAAAATAAACGACTGAACCAATCCTAACCTGCAACATAGCTAATGAAAGGGGAGGAAATAAAGAATATATTAAGTAATAAAAAACAAACAAGGCGACTACTAAAAGAGTACTACACATTATATGCAATAATAAAGAACATATAGCGGCATACGAGATATCATAGGGCACTTTAGATAAAAATAGATTTACTATAAGACAAATTTTGATTTACTGACTTAAAAAAGGCCTCTGGATGTATACAAAATAAATAACTGATCGAATCCTAACATGGGGAGTATTTTATGTATATTGTAATTTATCACAAACAATCAGAATACTTCATATATAGAATATTATGTTTGTACTCTGTGTAGTTCTTTTGATTGAATGTTACATTGAAATGCTTTTGTTTGTGTTAATATTTTTACTTTGGCGAGTGAGGGATTCAGACAAAAGAATATTGCGCGTAGATTGCATACCCAATTCACTCTTTTTCGTATAGTTAAGCGATTTAACGAATCTAGAGGGTACAATAGTCACCCTGGTCAATGACGAAAAAGAAGTACAACACCTAGAAATGAGCAATATTTGAAAATTAAATCATTACTAAATCGCACACTTACAACTCTAGGACTGAAAAAAGCAATTTCTGATGACAAGACAAATTAATGTAAGTGTAAAAACAGCAATAAGAAGACTGAATGAGACTGGTTTAAATCAAAAACGTCCATACAATGTTCCCATGCTTCTCACATGTCACAAAACTAGATGGTTACAATTTGCACAAACCCGCGCTAACTGGAATGAGCATCGATGAAAAAGTTCTGTTTACGAATGAAACAAGAATGCAATTTTCGAATCCAGACGGACATGGTCGAGTATACAGGCGCTTGCAGACCTTGTCTTGGTGCCTTTATTGGTTTCCATGATTTCGTGTTAATGCATGGTAATGCTCGTGCATATGCCGCAAGAATAGTAACCCAGTATCTTAAGCTTGTTGGTATTTAGAATATGGATTGCCACGAATGAATCCTGATGCAAATTCCATAAAACACATAAGGGACATCTTAAAGGTTCTAAATTGAATGAAAGAATTTTAAGTAAATTTAAATTTTAAAATTAATTGGGAATGTAAAAATTTAATTGAGGATATTTAATTCATAAAATTGTCTATATTAATTTTCGTCGTAATTGTAATATACTATAGTCCTTTTCCATCATATTGATAGCACATTATGTATGCAAATCCTCAACAGGTCATAAAACCATAGGCGTGACCCTATACTTGTTTTGAAATAAATAAAAAAATTAATATTTTAAGATGCCGTCAACAAATCATTATCTTTTAAAAAATCTTCTGTAAAATAAGTGTCCACTAATCTTACTATAACTTTTTTGTGCGTAAAAAACCTCGGTATATATGCCACACGATTATTGTTAATTATACACGGGTGATTAACGAGAGAATTCAATGTTTCACGAAATAAATTAATGTAAACAGTAATGTAAAGGTGAGTATTGTTTTCTATACAAGTTATCACCTGACACAAAAAGAATACCTTCTTTGAACGATTACCTGGAATTACTGATAAGGCTTCACTAATTATAGTTTAAGTAGTTTTTATGCCACATTACAGCCTATGCCAATAATATAAATTAGTACTTGTTTGCATCTTCCATTTAGTTTGTAGATGTACATTGTTCATGTCTTACCTACCTACGTTTTTGGTGTCGATATTTTGTTATTTGCATTTAAAAATGACGTCGACAACAGGTTTTATCCCGGTTGGTTAAGTGTAGTTTTAAAGGTGCCTTTAGTCTAAGAGAGAAAAATATAATGTTAAATGTACACGATGCACTTGTACATCAACGCCCTTTTAGTAATGTTCGTGAAATCGTTAACATGTGTTCAAATATGACAGGGGTTGGAGAAGCAAAAATTTATAGATTCCTAAAAGAAAGAAAAGGAGGAACTGTTTCATCTCCCAAGAAGAGTGGAGGGAGTAAACCCTTGGAAATTGAATAAATACATAAAAACATGATAAGATGCAGCGTCCACTCATTTTTTTTAACAAAGAATTTCCAACATTGGACAAAATCCAAACATTAATTAGAGAAAACGAAGAGTTACCAATCATAAGCAACAAGAAATTATGGGGACTATTGAGAGAGATGGGATTTCGTTGTCAAAAGAATAGAAGAAAATCCGTTTTAATTGAAAAAGATTACATTGTATGTTGGAGACGAGATTATCTAAGAACTATTAAAAAGTACCGAGAAGAAGGGAAAACAATTTTTCATTTGGACGAGACTTGGCTAAATGAAGGTCATACTGTACCATATCTATGGGTTGATACAAATGTGAAAAGTTCCCGTCAGGCGTTCATCGAAGGTGTATCTACTGGAATAAACAATATTCCCGTTGGAAAATGACGCAGACTCATAATAACCCATATTGGAAACGAATACGGTTTTGTCAATGGTGTATTATTAAGTTTTGCCTCAAAATCAACCAAAGATTACCACGAGGAAATGACTCCTGACGTTTTTGAAGAATATTTTGAGCAAATGTTGGATTTAATTCCAAGAAATTCTGTCATAGTCATGGATAATGGTAGTTACCATTCAAGACTAGCAGAAAAATTGCCAACAACGGCATGGAAAAAAGGAGAGATAATCGAATGGTTGGATAAACACGCAATTGAGTACAAGGAGAATTCGACAAAAAAGGAATTATTACATATTGTAAGGCAACATAAAGCTGCTTATAAAAAATATATAATTGATGAAATGGCATTAAACCGTGATGTAATTATTTTACGTTTACCCCCATACCACTATGATCTGAATCCGATAGAAAATATATGGTCTCAAGTAAAGGGTGAAGTCGGACGCAACAACAAAACTTTTAAATTAGAAGACTTACAACAATTATTAGAACATTCCTTATCAAAAGTAACTCCAGAAAATTGGAAAAATGCTGTTAGTCATGCTCACAAGGAAGAAAATAAAATGTGGAATTTGGATAATACGACTAATGCAATGCTGGAACCGATAATAATTAACATTGGAGTTGAAGATTCATTAGATTCTGAAGAAAGCAGTAATTCTCAAATGGAGTTTGATTAAAATAATATTCATTGTTTTACAAATCGGCCCCTATTACGGCCACAAATTATTTTATATATTACCAATAAAATAAACATCTTACATTTCTTGCAAATTCATTAGTGTTAATCTCCATCACTCCGACACTGGCAACTTTATTTAGGGATTAGTAACCCTCAAAACTATTGTATTCTATTCTGCTTCAACCTTTATACCTGGTGGCCATACTCAATTTAAAATTGTTTTCCTATAT